GTAACATGGTGACAACACAAGAGTAAATAGGAGATGGACAGAGTGTTATCATCCCATAACAGGAAGTGCCTGAACAAGAACCGTCATGGATGAGCTACCAGGTACTTTTTTCATGAAAGCTGTAGACTTAAAAATATTGAAAATATAATGCAGGAATTTCACTGACTTTACAGTTGAAACAGAAGCTGCATTGTATTATATCACAACTGCATTCCTTTCAAACTTACAAGAGATCGATTACTATGCATTTAGTAAACACAACATGTGTGTGTATACCTGCCAGAAAAGGTAACGCCTATGTACAATGAAACAATGGTTCAGTTTATTAAAGGACATTAAATATACAGAGGAACTCACCAGTTCCCTTAAGTTCCCTTGCACTTTATTCTCTTGAATGGGAATGCTATAACATTTGTGTTCGATCAGTGCATGCAGCCAATTGGCTGCAACGCTGATCAATGTATTCTGGCAGCAGGGAAAGCCTACTGTCAGGATACAATAGCTGAGCATAGAGAATTCCTTTATCCACCTTGAGCGATTTGTAGTTTGAAGCTCCAAGCTCCAAAAACACTCAAACTTCTCAAAATCAATTGTTCTCTATGGTGCATGTCTGTGCCACCAGGTGTGAAGTTTTTGAAGCTTTGAGCTTCAAGCTACAAATTGCTCAAATGTGAATGCAGCCTGAATGTGTGAATGGGGGAATCTATTTGTTTTTTTCTTGTTTTCTTTTTTGTTCTGGGTTTTTGTTGAGCTGGCTGGCTAGCAAAAAAACAAAACAAAACCAAAAAAAACCCAAATCATCTAAGGCCAGCTTACACCACTGGATTGAAGCTGTATATCACCATACCCAGGGAGGGAAGTACCTGTAAGCAGGCATCTGTACCCACCTATCCCTTAAAGGGACCTCTGGCCAGCTGAATCTACCTATATCCTCTGAGGGCTCATGTCCTTATCAGCTTGAAGAAGAATCTACCCTGAGTTCCAGTCCGGACCTATACCTGTGAAGGGGACCCTGTTGATTTACATACTGCGTAATTAAATCATGCTTCTGGTGAGTGCATAATTCTTACCATACCACTGGGAGCACCACCACTGGATTGAAGCTGTATATCACTCTGTGTTCATTATAGAGACTGTCACTGATTTATGTTCCTAAAATTGGGGACATTTCTCACATGTACTTCTTTTAAGTGGTTGAAGATCTGGTTCCTACGGTGGCAGAGATGAAGATGATAGGCCTTCTTTTATTTTATGGTAGAAAAGCCATCATGTTATCTTGGAAAAAGCAGACACCGCTTTCTCTTATCTTATGGAAACAAGTTATTGCTGTACTACCTTTATATAGAGATATTTACTTTCATAGAGGTTGCCTGAAAATATATAAAGTTTGGTCGAAATGGTTAGGTGACCCTCTACTGCTTCTGATATGTGATTGTCTCAGCAGGCCCACTGGACACTGTTTTTGCTAGACCATCAGCCCTTCCAGGTGAGCACTAGATGCCTGGGGTTTTTATCTGTATGATAGGATGTCCAGCCTAAAAATCCTCTCCTACACGAGCCTGTACTGTTGTACTGCAGGCAGCTCCAAGGCTACTAGTTAATACCCCTGCGTGGGCTAAGTGCCTGAATACAGTATGTTTGTCATTTGGTTGTATGTCTTTTTGTACTTCTTGAAACATCAAAAAAAACTTGTAAATTACTTTTATACAGACAATAACATGTTTAAAATTATATGAAATATTGGACGTCCCAATTTGAATAAGGTGTAGGCTGGATACATCCCCCTACAACTCACACAACCTGGTAGGTGAAGAGACTCTTAATCAAATTGGTCATACTCTGTGTTCTTACTGTAAATGACAGTGGAAGCAACAGCAGAAGATATATATACTCACAAAACTAATGTAATGTGTTCACTGCACTCTTTGTTGCATGATATGTCATTGCTAATTAAGTCATCAATAAAAATATATATATAAGATGACCTTCTGGATGTAGAGGGTGATTGTTTTTCTGGACTGCATATATTGTTATGTTGCCCTCTCATGATGGATGCTGAGAACTGGTTTGCTCTAAATGCATTAATTTAATCTGCACTAAACTTGCAGCATTCAAAACCTGATTTCTTGTCATGGGCAAAAGCAAAAAAAAGCAGGTGAATTCTGATGTCTGCTTGAAAAAAATCCTTCTAGGAATAGAATTAAAAATGCTAATATTTAGGTTTACAGCCCAATTTTTTTTTGTTAGACAACATGTGGTAATGTAATGCCTTTCGGAAAATTTCCTTTGATTTACTAAATAGGTCTATGGGTGTATTTTATTTAAATGAGTGAAATAGGCAATTAATTTTTCAAAACATAATTATTGTACAGAATAACAATGTTTAAAAAAATGTTGGGACCTAATTATTTACTTTAAATTTTCATGGTGTGGAATTTGTACCATTGATAGTGGCTGTTCGCAGTGCTGTTGGTGCATTGCAGCAGACTTGAGAATGCAGTATACATGACTAGGGAATTTCCAAATTTGCCTGGGTTCACGGGGCATCGCTGGCAATTCCAATTTGATATGAATTACGTAGGGTGCTCACCTGCCACCAAGGGCACAACACAAGTCTTTTACTGATGTGCCCTTTGTAGTAACCGTTGCCATTACTCCAAGTATAACAAGCATACTTACTCTAAGTGTTAACTATATTTATATTGGATATATCACCTAATGAATTACAGAGTTTTGCTTTCTTCAATTAAATTATTGGATTGTACTTGGCAATATACAGTTTATTTCTCTTTCACTTAATAGATTACTACTACCCTTTAATGAACAATGAGAATATGCATTCTATGTACTCTACCCTTGAAGGCAGTCTAGTGCTCTCTCATTTCAGTAGGTGGTGTCTTGTTGCTGTGTGGATGGAGTGGAGACTCACAAAATTAATGTTCCTTTGCAGACTCGATAGGAATCATAGGAAGAGCAGCTGTTCGACTGAATGCTGCAATCCCCAATGACTCTCCGTGGCCATCTTGGATAGGGCAGCCCTCATAAAAGGACCCTGCCGGGATTTGGTAAGTGGATAGAGTAGGTACAGGACAGGAATCTGCTTGTCAGGGATAGAGACATAGCATTTGGGAAAAGTGCCGGTAAGGAACTGGAGGGAAAGCGTAAAGACCATGCTGTGCACCCCTTAAGCACCGGCCGCTGGAGCCGCTCCTGCAGCCTTCTCAGAACCCTCTACCCACTAGCTGAGTCTGCCACCCTGCCAGTCAGCCATCCCTCCTGTAGATGCTGTCCCCAGTAAAGTTGGCCTTGCCTACAGTGTACCTTACTGTACCTAAAGAAATATCTCTGTTCTATTCCCTGCTGGTATAGTCTGTGAGGCCACTATTGCCTAAGCTACCTTTGGTGCCTTTAGTGCCTGCACCTGAACACTGTTAATTTGAGCACAAGTCTCAAATTTAGAAGTTAAGAAAAAAGGACGTAAGAGCTATCTCCCCTAGGACAAGGGTTCCTCTTCCACCTATGCCTCTGATGGAGAAGTTCATTTAAACCCCTGACTGCCTCTTCTCCTTCAGATGTGATATACCTTTATGCCTGTTATATTTAACCTTCTGGTGAGTGTACATATGACCGAGGTGGTGGATTCCCGTGTGATTACTTTCACGTTCACATCTTGCACTTTGCAATACTGTACTTTATGAATATATGGACACTATTTGAGCTCAGTTTTTTTATGGACTTCTAATATTGCACAAATATCCTAGATTGTAAGCTCGAAAGAGCAGGGCCCTCAATCCCCTCATGTTTTGCATTGTATTGGTATTGTTCTGTCACATGTTCTGTCCCCCTTTGTAATGTACAGCGCTTTATAAATACTGTATAATAATAATAATAATTACCTACATGCAACCGTGAATGTCAATAATATTACTATTTATTGATTATTTTAATTGCACTTTAGTGCACATATTATCACATTTGCTCATGCACATTATTTCCTTACCGTTTGCTGATTTCCTGTTTTTTTTTTATATTCCCAAGTTTTATATATATTTATATGTTGCACTTTACTGTTCCACTTGATACATTTTCTTTTTCATTGTGATTTTAGCGCTGCACTTTTTTATAAATATACTTGTGAGAATTGTTACCTATACCTTGCGTGTTAGCTGCTTTATAGTCATCACTAGCACTCGCCTATATACAATATATTTACATTGCAATACATTTAGTGGAGGCCAGAGGAGACTTGCAGGATCTTTTAGACCCTGCATGTCTCAATAAAGAGAACTTGTCACCTAAACATCATCACATAGGGGACACAAAGTCAATGAAGAAAAAAAAGTTAAGTAAAAAAAGATTATAATTGCAAAAAAATAAAGCTACACTAAAGCACATAACATCCCCCCCAAAAAAAAATTTTGAGACCCCACCTCCACATATACACACGTATGAACGTAAACAGACACGTCAGGGTGCCTATGTATGAAAACAATCATTGCGATACATGTTACATATCATTACACGCAGGAGCAATAATTCTAGCACAAGACTTCCTCTGTAACACTAAACTGACGACCTGTAGGGGCTTTTGAAGCGTCGCCTATAGAAAATATAGGGTACTGAAGTTTGTTGTTATTTCATAGAAGCACACAAATTTAGGGTTTGGAATGTTGGGTATAGATTTTCTCAGCTCAACCTCATATTTTACCAAAATGTTGGATAATTTATTGCTTTTTTTGCCCTAAAATTCATTTTAGTGTGTTTTTTACTGATATTTTGGGTTTCCTAGACCTTTGCAGTAATATCGTGTGACATAAAAAAATTGGAATAAGCACTATTTTATTCTCTAGGGTGTCTGCTTTCAGAACATATGTAATATTTTGTTGGGTTTGTGTAATCTTCAGGCCTGAAATCATTTTTAAAACATGTGTGCAAAAACATCTCTGGCAGCAAAAGGGTTAAAGGATAACTGTAATACAAATAAAACATGTGAATAAGACCCCTCTCAGATGGGGTGAACTTTGTTCCAATCAGCAGGTGATTCACTCACAAATGACTGGAGAAAAGCGGGCGGATGACACATCTGTTTCTGCTTAGTTTATACCAGGGGCGGAATGACAACTCATGGGGCTCCCGGGCAATAGGGGATCATGGGGCCCCTGTGTCCTTGCCAAAACTCAAAAAAGCCTATGAAAAAAGTACCAGGGGAATCTCCTGGGGCCCCCTACTGACCCCAGGCCCTCGGGCAGTGCCTGAGTTTCCAAATGGTCAGTCCGCCCCTGGTTTATACAGAGAGGACAAGGACAGAGCCTGCTCTTGCTCTATGGGTGGCCAGATGTAAACTAACTGCTTTGTTTCTTACACCCAACTACCCTCTGATCCTATCATTCTAAATGGAATAGGACAAATTTGCTTCCATTTGTTTTTCTTTTAGCAGACCGGATTGGAGCCAGAGGTAGGCATACAAGTCCGTTTACACCCACCTTTCCATAAAGGTGAATGGACCATCTGATTAGGTCCACCTGAAAAACTAACAGGCGGACCTGATCCAACCTGCTGTGTGAAAAGAGCCTAAAGGGAACCATAGTTTGCACCCCTGGCAGCCTTATAATCTGTCAAACCTCCATCACATTTGCCTAAACAATTTGCTTTGCTCATAAAAGTTGAAAAAAATGTAAAGACATGTGAAGTTGAAAAGGAATGAATACACTGAGTACTACTGTCACATACAGTATATTGATCACATATTGATATCAGAACAGTATATTTTTATTGGTAGTGCCCCTTGAAGCAGAAGAGTATACCAATCATAAATCTGTGGCACATGTTTGCAAAACTGAGTACTACGGTCACATAAAGTATAATGTATTGATCACATACTGATATCATGACAGAATACTTTTATTGGTAGTGGCCCTTGAAACAGAAGAATGTACCATTCATAAATCTGTGACAGATGTTTGCAAAACTGTGTCGATTGTCAAGGATTGCAGGTGTAGGGGTCACAAAATCCCAAAAAACTATAGCAGATCCTTTACTAAATACAAAGTGAGTCTAAATCAATATTTTGTGTCTGGATACTATTTATATTAGTTTTAAATGGTAAACTAAAGTGTACTTCAAGTTGCATTATTTTGTGCCTCTGCATACTGTTCCTGTGTTTGGGGGCTTCCAGTGCACCTCTGCCGCATCTAGAATGGCAATTTGGCTTTTTCCAGAAGGACTACTGAGATGTGGAGTGTTAATGAAGTGCAATATACTGTACACTCGTGGGCAGCTGGGACTGAATCAAACAAGTTTTAACAAAAAATATACAGGAAACGCTCATTGCGGCCTACACACATCCTGCTCTTAGCCCTCAGTATGTTCTGAGCTGGCAGATAAACCTTGTTATAAAAAAACGGCTTCTTTTGTTTTTTTGCTGCTCCTTGCACAAAATACAGTATTGTATAATGCATTAGCCAGCTTAACTTTTTAGTTCCATTCTGGCAATAACTGCCACAGTGGCACCGCATGGAACAGGTTCATTTAGGGACCCTTTGTAGCCCTAGGAATTTGCCAAAGTACTTGGCCACATTTGCATGCCCTGCATTCATTGTGCTACTTTGAAAGCTGGTAGGGTATATTTATGAAACTCAAAGCTGTAATTTTTTTTATTACTTTCATGGAGATGTATTTTAATGTTCATATTTATGGGTGTAAAAGACATAAATCACACTTGCATTTCTGTCTTAGGTTTGCGTTTTCCATCAAGAGATTCTAATTACAGTACAGGATTCTGGTCCTTTCATGTGTAAATGAGCTTCAAATACTTCCAGCATTAACCTTGACATAGCCAAGCTAATAAACATAGCCATCTGAGCATGCAGAATGAGTACGTTAATATAACACTTCCAAAAGGAATTTTTTTGTGAATTTCAAGAGCAGAAAACTCCAGTGTCCACCCACTGTGAAAAATGTAGCAATAACAGTGGAAAAAAGAAGTCTTTTATGTAGGGCATTAGCATTGTTTCATGTAATAATTGCAAAATTCCACGGAGACCAGCCAATGCAAGCAAATGTTAGGCAGATGGCAGTGATAAAGTGCTCAGAGTAGAGCGCTATTGCTCATACTGTATCTGCCAATCAAAAAGCACTTGGGAAAGAAATGAGCTGCATCTGTGTTTTAATTACTTTAGCACAGTCATCCAGTAGAAATGCCAGCGCTGCTCATTCTCATCTACCATGGCAGAAAACACATGCTTCTCCAACACATAAATTTATGATATACATTGCATCCTTCAAATATATTTAAACACATTCATGCAGTTTGTTGATTTATAGTGTTCCCCAATGCAACTGTACTCATATTTTCTGAGTTGTAGTAATATAATGCATTGTTAAAAAAATAAATTTTTGGCAACATACTGTACATAACTCAATTTCAGTAATAAACATTTTATATGGTGAAGTCAGTAATTGTGGCATGCACTTTGTAGAAGCTTGGCTGATATTCTCTCAGTAACTAGCAGACTGATAGATCATCAGTGATGATCTGACAGTCAGCTGTAGGTCCATTATCTGTTAAACAGTAACTGGCTGCTTGCCCTAATTCTGCAACTTGCCTTCTGCCTCTGGTTCTTTGCCTTCTGCCAGGAGCCTCCAGGGCAAGCGCCCAGTGAGTAGTCAGTTTGTCTTTAAAACACTGCCTAACTAGTGAGTTTGGTTGCTCATTGCAGAGTATAGTTTGCAACTTGGGTACACTTTTTAGTCTAATTTGCTAGGTTCCTATTGCTGATGTTGATACTACTGACTCTGAGTGATGTCTACTAGCCACAAATTTTGCTACAATATTCAACTGTGATTTGTGTTCTCAGCTCCTGTTTTGATGATCGTCTAAAGATCCCCTGGAGACTTTTGCCTTGATTCCCCCTTCCCTGCTCCAGTAAACTTCTACTCAATCCAGGGCACTGCATCCAACTAGCCAGCTTAACCTTTGTTTTGAATTTAAACACCTTTTGTCTGGTCTTCTGGCACAGTCTAATCATGCACTGATCTCTAACCTCTGATGTGTACTGGCTTTCCTTTAAAATCGGTCCCTCTGCTCAGCTTCCATAAACCTGAGTATGGTACAAGCACATACTGTATTACCTGTGTAGTGCCCCTGCCCTGGGCTGGCTAAATTTAGTGTATAGCTCTGCTGTGGTTAGCTGAGCTGCAATTAATTTTTCAGGTCTGATCAGGTTTATAACTAAACCCGATGGCTGATTGCTTCTGCCTGCCTATGGAAGAATGTTCCAGAAATAGTATGGGAGGATCAATCGCTGGAGTTAAAATTGTTATCTGACATTAGCCAATTCTTGTGAGGTTTGTCCAGAAGGTGTGCCTGGGGAGAAGATAAATATTTGGGAGGACCTGATCAGTCTACCTCTCCCCTGGGGTTTCTTCCCTGGGACAGAGCATGTGTGTATGTTCCAGAGAATCTAGTGTTGCTAGGCTTTAGGGTGGGCTGGGGGACTAAAGGAAATTTACCTGAAGGAACCTTGCCTTTGAAAGCTTGGCTGCAGAAGTGGGCACCTTTTGCCTGTAGCTCCAGGTACTGAGGTACTTCTAAAGATGCCAGAAGTTGCTGCATAAGGACTGTGACTTCTCTCAAAGGGTCTCAGATTTGTTGGCTGTCCCCTCTTTGTTCGGCATTATTTTTGAGACTGCTACTATAGGGCCTAATACTGCTGGAATAAGGATCTTTCAGTAAGCTGTCCTAGATTTTTTGCGTGCCTTGGACATCCTGCACCCTCAACCCTCCTCCCGGCATTCTGTTTAAAATCGCCAATAAATCCTAAAAAGAATTGTAGCCTGAGCCTGAATTTGTTAGTGTGATTCTCACAGTGCCATGGATAAGGGGGTACCACAGTCCTCCTGTATGGGGCCCAGGCAGCTGGGTGAATCGGATGTGAGCAGGGAGGGTGATCGACACGGCGCCAGTTACTGGAACCGATCTCCTGCATGACTCTCTCTGCAGAAACTGAAATCTGGCTTCTTCTCCTCTCCCTCCCGCTGGCTTTCAGCTGCTGCAGAGAGAGCCATACAGGGGATCAGTTCCATTACTTGCTCCCTACTGCACCCATCACCCTCCTTGTGCACCATACCTTTACCCCTGAGTGCCTCCACAGTTCTGCCAGCTTCCCTCCTCTCCTTCCGACCAGCAGCTGTAAGCATACAATAGGATCCTTCAGGATGGAGAGTGGGGGAAGGATATTCTAAATATGTCAAATTTACCAGCCCTTACTTTTCTGAATGAACACAACGAGTGATCGGTACCAAACACTCACTGTGTTCATTCATAACTGAAGCATAGTAAACTATGTTTTGTTTTGGGGGGGGGTGCTGTCAGGTTGGCTGTGTGGGGCCCCATGGATTCTAACAGTGGCCCTGGCTTTTAGGACTGAACATGGGGTGGACAGCCTTTGAACAGGTAAGGGAGACCCAATTATTTTGCAGTGGCCCCTCCTGAGGTTATTGATACACTTATAAAGAACACTATAGTATTGGTCATTGAATCTGAACAAGTGACCAGTCTTTACTATATTGCCAAATAGCAGCAGAGCTAGATCCATGTCTGGATGAGGCAACACTTTAGTGGGGAGGTATTAAGCTGTATAAAACTTTATGGCCATAATTTTCTTTGGCCATGGGGTAGGGAGGTGTGGGTAAATTGTGACTAAAAAGAGCATATAACTGAAATAACTGCAGTTCTCTGATATCTATTGGCACTCCTGCTATCAACTGGCAATGTGTAGGATTTAGAGGAAGAATGTTTCAGATAGTGTGAACTCTAGAAATGAGAGAAGGTAATTGCATTTAATTAAGCAACAAACTGGTTACTGTGTGGCTTATTTAAAAGACAGACTTCAGTGTGCAGAGTACTCTAGCCAGTCAGAACTCATAGTTCAATGACAAGATTCCAATATAGAGAAATCTGACTTTTGGCAGATTCCACTTTATACTCATTTTCAACAACATGGATCAGATGCAATGCTTTTTACGAAAGATCATAATCTTAATCAAGATCAACTACTAAGCAGAGCCACTAAAATAAGTATAATATTCCAGTAGCTTCATGTGAGTCTGTCCATGTGCCCTCTTAACTGGGTGGTCAGTATAACAGTATTAAGAAGGTTATGTATTATTTTTTTTTTTATCGAAAACAGTTTTGTCTTCCGTCATTGTTGATGGGGTACATAACATGAAAATGACTAGTTCTCATCTTGAAGTGGGAAAACAAATAGGTTGACTTGAATACAACAGAGGTGGTCAGGACTTCCATCCCTCACATAGACTGGATCTGAGCAGTGACTGAAAACTCTATGCATGGACATTTACACACATATCTACTATATATATATATATATATATATACATGTATATACACATATACACACACACATATATAATGTAGCACTACCCCCTTAGGAGTTGCTGAGTTTTGGGTCCCTGCACTGCCGGGCAACACACATTTTCTTCCACACTTTGCACTCAGTCAGTAGACAGAAAACAACAAATCTATCTAACTAAACATGGAGGGCGTATATATATATATATATATAAATATATATATATATATATATATATAATATTCAGGTGTTTTAATCACCACCATGGCCACAGGTGTATAAAATCAAGCACCTAGGCATGCAGACTGCTTCTACAAACATTTATGAATGAATGGGTCACTCAAGCGTGGTACTGTGATAGGTTGCCACCTGTGCAAAAAGTCCATCCGTGACATTTCCTTGCTACTAAATATCCCACGATCAACTGTTAGTGGTATCATAACAAAGTGGAAGCAACTGGGAACAACAGCAACTCAGCCACCAAGTGGTAGGCAATGTATAATGAAAGAGCAGGGTTAGCGCATGCTGAAGCGCACAGTGCGCATACGCCTCCAACTGTTTGCAGACTCCATAGCTAAACACCTCCAAACTTCATGTGGCCTTAGATTAGCACAACAACAGTGTGCAGATAACTTCATGGAATGGGTTTCCATGGCCAAGCAGCTGCATCCAAACCTTACATCACCAAGTGCAATGCAAAGTATCGGATACAGTGATGTAAAGCACACCACCACCCAGACTCTAGACCAGTGGAGACGTGTTCACTGGAGTGACCAATCATGCTTCTCTCTCTGGCAATCCGATAGACGTGAATGGGTTTAGCAGTTGCCAGGAGAACGGTACTTGCCTGAATGCATTGTGCCAAGTGTAAAGTTTGGTGGAAGGGGGATTATGGTATGGGGTTGTTTTTCAGGGCTTGGGCTTGGCCCCTTAGTTCCAGTGAAGGGAACTCTTAAGGCGTCAGCATACCAAGACATTTTGGACAATTTCATGCTCCTGACTTTGTGGGAACAGTTTGGGGATGACCCCTTCCTGTTCCAACATGACTGCGCACTGGTGCACAAAGCAAGGCCCATAAAGACCTAGATGAGTGAGTTTGGGGTGGAGGAACTTGATTGGCCTGCAGAGTCCTGACATCAACCTGATAGAACACCTTTGGGATGAATTAGAGCAGAGACGCAAGCCAGGTCTTCTCGTCGGACATCAGTGCCTGACCTCACAAATGCGCTTCTGGTCAAACATTCCCATAGACACACTCCTAAACCTTGTGGACAGCCTTCCCAGAAGAGTTGAAACTGTTATAGCTGCAAAGGTTGGGCCAACTCAATAGTGAACCCTAAGGACTAAGACTGGGATGACATTAAATTTCATGTGCGTGCAAAGGCAGGCATCCCAATACTTTTGGCAATATAGTGTGTATATATAAGGAATATTGTAAGGCACTGGCTGGCAGGATATTGTGGCTGATGTGTGTATATCGCTTAGGTTCCTCACATACACATGTTGAGGGGCTCCACGGTTTGAACAAAAGGTTTGTTTTTTTCCACATCAGCCACAGTTCTGAATTATGGAGGTGTTTCCCATCCCCACCCCCTAGATAAGACCTGTCCAGCATGTTCTCCTATAACTAGAAGTACTAGGTTTCTGACAAAATGATTGGTGGGGTACATGGGGGAGATATTCACTAACTCTTCCTAGTGCAAGCTGTGAAGTGAATCTGTTACACTGCTTAATCCAGGCAAAATACAGGTTTACTTTGACACAAGCTGGCAGTATGCAGGTTCACAGTGGAGAAAACCGGATTTATTAACCAGTATATTTGGTAACAGCTTTAAATTGCACCTGTCATTCACTTCTGCAAATCTTTTATGCTGGCTAAAGTAGTACAATTCAATGGTGCCTGCACATGCCTTCAAACACCTTTCCAAGTGTTCTGGGAGCCTCAAATAAAATAATAAGATCTCATTTACAAATTTGAACACTTCTCTGTAATTCTGTGGACTGGCCTACCTCCTTCCATATCCCACACCTTCCCACAAACCTGTTACAATGATGGGTCACTTGGGAGTCTACATGCACCCTCACATATTTGGGAAAAAAATAAAGTATGCGTGTTTCCCTAAAAATGAAAAATAATGCCAAATGATAAAACCAGACGTAAATTATTATTTTCATAGAATATGGCGTACATAAAATCATATGGTAAAGAGGTAGGATTTAGTTTGGTTTAGTGTCATCTTTCCGAAATGCCCTCAAAAAACAAGGGCAGTGCGTATCTCCTCTTTCCTTTTCAGCATATAATTTTCTCCAAAACTGCAAGTTCATTTCATGGGTAATTTCATTTTAACCAGCAATAATTAAATTACAATAAATTATAGTTAACATTACATTCAGATGCTGAGTTTTTTTGATGAGTCTAAAACACATGATGTGAATCACCAAAAAAGATAAATTGTTTGCTTTGTAAATGCTTTAATTCCATAACATTTTAATCTCTAATGGTGTTGTCCTTTTTTGCGGTATTTAAGTTTCTAAATATATATGTGTGCTGATTCATAAATAAAAAGCAATTAAATAAATTTTCTTCAATATGAAACGAGAAAAAGCCATGACTCAGCCGTAACACCAATTAGAGCAATGTTAGCTTTAATTAGCCACACAATGTAACTTTGAAAATAGTAATAACTGCATTTGTGGGCCTGTTCAAACCAGCAGCACTTGAAAATACCAGGTATGGACATCTTATAAACATTTTCAAAGCATTTTGCATCTGTTTGCATCTGTTTGCAAGTGCATTTCAAGAGTTTTTAAGCACATTTTGCAATTGAAAACTTTTAGCTAGCATATAAAATACATTATTTTGAGGTATTTTACATTTTGAGAGTGTTTCCATGAACCAGAATGATCTAGAAATTAGAGATTCAAGTGCTTATATAGACTAGAATGACCTAGAAAAATATTTCTTGAAGAATATTTCACTCCTAAGCACAATGCCCTAGTGTTGCTCATCTGTGAGAAACACTTCAGAAAGCTTTAAAGCACCTTTGGTTCAGTAACATTTATATAGTCTGGAAGAGTACGAACTGTCAATAGGAACGAATGAAAACGCAGAGTGCATGCACAGGCACAGTGTAGAAGATTTTGACAAGCAGCTCTATGACTTTGTTGGATCAGGGGCAGATGAATGTAAAAATGGTATGGGGGGGAGCAACAAAAGGTACTATTGGAATGCTTAAAAATTCACGTAGTGTGGATGAACCCCTTCCACCTGAGAAAAATAATTTCCAGACATAAGTAAAAACTTACCTTTTATCCACAAATATATTATTTGGTAATTGCCAAGCATGCATTTAAAATGGTTGTAGAGGCTCAAGGTTTTTCACCTTCATGCATTCTATGCATGAAGGTAAAAAACCTTCTGTGTGCAACAGTGCCCCCAGCCCCCTCAATACTTACCTGAGTTTCATCAAGATCCAGCAATGTGCATGACAGCCTCAGCTGTTCCAGGCCTCTGCCTCCTCATTGGCTGAGACAGCAAGCAGGAGCCATTGGCTCCCCCCGCTGTCAATCACAGCCAGTCAGCCAATAAGGAGAGAAAGGGGGTGGGGCCAAGCCATGGCTCCATGTTTGAAAGGACACATGGAGCAACGGGTACCCCCATAGCAAGCTGCTTACTGTGGGGGCACCCGACAGGAGGAAGGGGTCAGAAGAGCCAGCGGGGGACCCGAGAAGAGGAGGATCCAGGCTGCTCTGTGCAACACCACTGCGCACAGTAGGTAAGTATAACATGTTTGTTATTTTCCAAAAAAAAAGTGAACCTTTAGAATCGCTTTAAGCTATTATACTATGAACTTTTACCATCTTTAAAGCAAAACAGTTCATCCAACCAGCCTGGAACGCAGATTCTCACCAACAGAAACCACAGTGTGATACTGGAACTCAGAGTCAGCCCATCTACTCTGCATCTTAGTCCCTTGTAACTTCTAATCTGCCATGCAACTGGACCTCTAACTACCTAATGGGCCGTTGCCTTTGCTGGTTATTGATCCCTGACCTAAAACTAGCTATACAGTCCTAGAACAGAAGGAATACCTAGAATAACAGGAGCTGTATATAAACTATATTGCAAAAAACAGGTTCTCCTAATACATGCAGCAAGGTGACCACTACACATGTAGACTGTGTCACAGACCGTTCTCGGGTATATTGCATGTGAGATAACAACAAGGGGACAGATATACTTCTGTCACCAATCTTTGAATATATACATATATACACTCAGAAGCTATAGGTAACAATAATACATTATTAAACATACAAACAATTGCCTAATAATCCCTACTTCTAGCCTGGATAAAATACAGTAACAGCTCCTGCTTGGATGTGTCTAATTCTGTCTCTACTTTCTTAAAACTCCCCTTTACAAAACATCACAGTCCTTCAGTCAGATTTCTGACCCAGCTAGCGCAGACAGGAATTACTTGGCTATAACCAACTTACTCTGTGGTAATTAACAAGTAACAGCTATCTACAAACACAGAGAGCAGAGGACAGCAGATCCCTACATGAACAACTCGTCAAGAGGAGAAGGCAGTATAGAGATTATCTGAACAATGAACTGCTACTTCTTTATTATTCAGCCATAGGCTAGGGTAGGTTGGAGACCATAAGGGTTATAAAGGAGAAAACAGTTTATGTAGCTAAATAATTGATATAAAAAGTATGAAAAGATTCTTTATACATGTTGCGTTATATCTATTCGTCCCTGAGAACCATTCCTAATGCTATGCCCCACACCATTGCCCTTGCATATACTTGTTTGTGCCATAGATATCCCGACTGATTTCTGATAAAACATTATATGACATCATCTTGGCAAAAGGTGTCATGGCATTTCCTTTCATCAATGCATTTCACAGACAACTCAGTCCGCTGTGAATATTTTATATTCCCTCTCACATAAGTTCATATATAAATCATATAGACAAGGATGGTGGTGTAAGTGAATTAACCATTTGATGACTGGGCTATAGTCAAATGACAGCTACTGCTCAGTTGTGTAGTTCTGGGAGGGGTTTTCAGAACCGTACCTCCCATGTGTGCGCACCTGGCGAGCTCTGTGATCGCTGTGTCAATTGGACACAGCTGATCACATGACATGGTAAAATGCCAATCACAGCACCCTTTTACCATGTGATCAGCTGTGCCATTGGACACAATGTAAATACAGTCGCCGGTTATCGGCTGCACTTTCCTCACGCTGTCACAGGAAACAGGAGAGCCAGTAATCAGCAAATATATTTTAAAAATTCAGGGGCAGTCCATTGCAGCCCCCAGCCCCATCAGTGTCCATCAATGCTGCCAGTCAGTGTCCATAAGTGCTGCCAGTGTCCATCAATGCTGCCAGTCAAACCGTAACAAAAACACAAATAAACCAGAAAACGGTGGGGTTATAGTCAGTGTGGAATAGAAATGTCAATCACAAAACTGGCTGAATAAATAATTTTATATAAAAAGGAAGATGATGCTCTTCTAGCAAACCTAAAAAAAAAGAAAAATTTCTATACCAACCGAAATGGACAGACTTCAGAATAAAAAATAGTGAGGGTTACAAGGAGCTTTTTTCCTCAAGAGGGTTATATCACTTCCTTGGATATCCGGCTGGTTGTGAATTATACCAGCTACCCTTTCCATGCAATTAGGCCTGGAGGGACTGTTTCTGGGACTCCTTTGGCATAATGTGC